TTTAACTTCTTGGCATGACGTTGGTTTCCTGAAATTCTGTATGGCGTTTACCTTTTCGTTTTCAATTTCCCATCCATCTGCCGTTAATTTAAAACCGAGGAAGGTAACTGATTGCTTTTTGAAACAGCATTTACTGGTATTCAATTTAACATTGTGATTTTCTAATCGGGCCATCACATGTTTCAAGTTTTCGTCGTGTTCTTCTTCTGTACTACCAGACACTAGAATATCGTCAAGGTAGTTTTTAACTCCACGACATCCTGCCAAAACCTTTCTTTCAAGTGCTTCTTGAAACAAGTCTGGCGCATTACATAGACCGAACGGTAGTCGCACGCATCTGAACATGCCAAATTCTGTGAAGAAATTGGTGAGATGTCGTGATTCTTCAGCAAGTTCGATGTGGAAAAAAGCATTTGAAAGATCAATAGTTGAGAACCATCGGGCTCCATTGAGTTCCGCCAGAATATTTTCCAATGTTGGCATGACAAACGGTGTTCTGTATATGCATCGATTGGGTCCTCTTAAATCAATTACCAATCGTATATTATCTCTGCCTTTGGGGACTACCAACATCGAGGAGCAGAAGGAGGTATCCATGCCTTCATGTACTGGCTCGATGATGTCCGATTTTACTAACTGCATTAACCTTTGGTGAACCAACGTCTTCAGAGCTATCGGTATGTTGGTGAAGATATTTCTGCATGGTGGAGCTGATTTGTCATAGTTTATTTTGACGGGAGGAATATTAAACTTGGGGAACACCTCTTCCATGTATAATGCTCTGATGCAGTTGCTAGAATCTGTATCACCAGTATTCGAACACACAGGGACTTTATGCCCCAATAAAAGGACGCAATACCGGCTTGCTGTCAACCTTCCCAGTAAAGAGTAACGCTCATTGACTATGTAAAACTTTTCGAGGAGTACTGGCCTGTCGTCCGAAATATATAGAAAAGCTTCAAACGTGCCTAGAACTTTAATTTCTGCAGAAGATGCATATGGCTTCAATGAGCGGTCTGATTTCTCTTGATAGTTATAGATCTCGTTACGATATTTTTTTCACGCCAATCAGTTCAGTAGTTTCCGAGTCTATAAGGGTCAGACAGACAGACAGACAGACATAGATTTGAGAACTTTAATGGTAATGGTTATGCTAGTCAGTAGGGTCCATGGATGGTTTTGTAACATCAATCAACTTTATGTGGAATATATCGCGAATAGGTTGCCTGTAAATTAAGGATTACCAATTCGCGATATATTCCACGTAAAGTTGATCGACAATACAAAACCATCCATGGACCTTAGAGCAAGCTAAAGCTCGTTTAGCAACCTCCAGCATAACGCAACTACCGCACCGGGGATTGCTATTCAGATGCGGGAAATAGCAATCCACACCTCGGGATGTGACGAGTTCATAAATCTAACAACACGGTAGCAACGCAGCGGAGACCCATCCAGCACATTTATGTAATTGTTGGATCCTGGCATTCCAAAGAAAGCGTGCCGAATCCACAGATTATAAGATGCGACCGCTTCGAGGATTATCGTAGGTTGTGACGTAGGACTACATTTGTGATTTCTATATGGGGTACTTTGTGAAAACCGAAAATGGAACATGTAACAAAATTATGAAAGATTTTGAACGTTAATAACTCAGCTGCCCCTGGACCAATTACAATAATTTTATCACCAACAGATCAGAAATATTTCTACGCATCTGCAAATTTAAGACTTTATCATTTTTCAAAATTTCACTATTGAAAATTGCACGAATGTGCAATTGTTGCAATGATACTTAAAATTATCACGGATTGCCTGCTAAAAGCGATTTCCCTAAAACAGAATTTCAATGCATCTCACCAAACGGTGTTTATTCTCCAGTATACACCGGTGTTCTCCAGTACACAACGAAAGGCTTCCCGCAAGCAGCTAGCTATCAAGGCTGGCCTCAACCACTGATCGGATTCAGTTCCAATCACCGTGTGTGGTGGAGTCCGGTCGTCGGCAGCAGCAGCGCAGCAGCAGCGCAACAGCAGCAGCGCAACAGCAGCAGCGCAGCAGCAGCGCAACAGCAGCAGTGCTTTTGGCGCGTGGCTTTGAGCATTGTATACAACGAAAGGCAGCCTGCAAGCAGCAACCTGCAGCCCACATGAGCACTACACTGATGCAAAATTTGACTTTTTCGCTCCACAGTGCTTAAATGGTTTCAAATCGGGTCCTGATTAGCCTCCCAAATTTACAACTCATTTGGCTAGAAACAGACTTCGCACAAGCCAAATTACTATGCGAAATCTCAACTTTTTGTTCATTGCCTTCTAGTCTTTTTCCATATTGAGCTGCGAAACAGTTCGATAGCCATTCTTATAGAAAATTTTCTTAGCTACAACTTTGCTCGAGATCGTTTCTATGTAAAACGAGACAGGAAAAAGTTATTAATTATTTAAGTTATTGGTAAACTTATGACATGATTAAGCAGCTGCTCTGTAGGCAACACTGTATTTTGCAGTGTGACATAGTAGCCATGATTTTGTGTCCCCTTCAACGCCCCAGAAACACCAATGTTGCCTGCTGAGCAGTTGATTGAGCATGATCATAAGACATCAGCGCATTGAACCATTGATAACTTTCGATCCTTGCATTTAATCAAAATGTGGTCTTCAGCAAAAATGTAGCTGAGAAAATTTCCTACAAGTACAGTTGAAAGTTTTTGAAGCAGACCGATATGGTGAATTATTAGATAGACATCAACAAAAATCTTGGTTTTACCATAGTAATTCCCATACAAACTTCAAATGGTTTGTGCCATCTCAGTTTCTCACCAAATGGGTTCAAATTTTAAGAGGTTAGTCAGGATCCGATTTGGATTCGTTTAAGTACTGTGGAGCGAAAATTTCAAATTTTGCATCACTCTAATGAGCACCCATAGACGGAGAAAGAAGCCGCACCGCTATTGATCGGATTCAGTAGCCCTTCGTGTGTCGCTGTGGGCCATCTATGCCAATCGCGTCACCCTCATTCCAAACAACATACAGCTCACCAGCCTCATCTGTGTTTAACACCCTAATAGCTCAGCATTACTCAACCATCACGACAAAACGGTCCTTTTCAAGACCAATTTGTAAAAGAGTATTTTTTGGACATCTATCAAGGTCATCAATCGGATGTCAGTTCCCATATCAAGATAGAGCTGGAAGTAGGCCGTTACAGCTTTTGAATGATGACTTGAAAGTCAAGGCTCGCCCACGCAAATCAACATCACCATCAGGTAGGGTAAGACTTCCCCTACCCGACGGTAATGTTGGTTTTGCGTGGGCAAAAATCATCGAGAGAAGTCATTGTTTACAAAAGCTGTTACGCATGATTTCAGCTCTGTCAAGATATGTTTAAATATAACATACTATGTACTTTAAGGTAACATTGGGGTGCTATTTCAAAAACCAAAGTCGGTCACAGTATGAAAGTGGGCTGATTTTGATCCAGAGATGATGGATTTTATTACGCCAATCGAAACGAGTTTTTTCTACGAATCTGTTATAATTAAGACTTTATCAATCTTCAAAATGCCACTATTGAAAATTGCACGAATGTGCAACTGTTGCTATGATTATTAAAATTATCACCGATTGCCGGCGGAAAGCGATTTCTCTAACACAGATGTCAAAGTTGAATTCAATCCGGTCTCACCAAACGGTGTTTATTAAAACACCGCGTGGTGAGTTGTAGTGTTCTCCAGTACACAACGAAAAGCTGGCTGCAAGCAGCGAGCTGCTGCCCACATGAGCATCCATAGAAGGAGGAAGCAGCCGCACCGTTATTGATCGGAATCAGTAGCTCTTCGTGAGTTGCTTTGGGCCATCTATGTCAAACGCGTCATACTAAAGAGTATAAATACTCTCAAATTCCTATTCCTACACAAAATACAAGCTCCTGCTGCAGTTAACAAATAAGATTTATTATATAAGACCACGTAGTCCTATGTCACTTTTGCGCACAATAGGGCCATAGAGGTAACTCTAAGACTAGAAGGTCCCGAAATAACGTGCTCAACTTTTTGGCTCAGCTCTGGTACTCTCTTCGGTCCCAAGCTAATCGATTCACCCCTCGAAACATAGGAAAAACCAATAACCCCTCATTGTATCTGTCAAACTTTCATAGTGAATCAAAACAAACATTGCGTAGTACTAGAATTTCGACTAGAATGGGGTACGTTAATCGTTTGCTTGGGACCAATAGGCTAGTCAAGTAGTGAGCCAATTTAAAATCGCTAGTTTCGTATTGATTGTTGATAGGGCTGTCCCTTGTAGTTTTTTCACCAATACAGAGCAATAAGGTTGAGTTTCCTGGGTCTGCTACGTATTCCTTCCGTACACCAGCCGGAATCGGGAGCCGAGAGTCAATTTGATAAAAATGGAGAAGCTTGGAATTTTACCCGGTCAATCGGAAGATGGATAACACAACATGATGGATCTAAAAATTTGTGATTTATTGCTACTTAAAGGACAATGTATATGTAAATTTTATTGTTATAAGGTTCAATAAAGCCGAACATAAAACTGATTTTTAGTACTCATCACAATTATAGAAAACAACTAAAAAACCCCCTATTCAATAAAATTGTCTATATTGAAAACCCGGTTTTGCGAAGTTCTTATCAAACATTCATTCTTTCTGAAAAAGTTAATTTACACCCAAAATGAAGTCTTTGCAGAATTCTCGACAATACAAAAAACTTAATTTTGAGAGATTTTGAGTTGTTTCGTTTCTCCGTGTCCGTTACCACCGTTATACAATAGAGAGCACTTCATCCTTAAATGACAGCTGTCAACCAGATTTTTTGTTTTCTCGCGCTTCTCCGTTCTTCTTCCTCTGCCCCGCCTCTTCGTCTCTTCCATAATAAAAACAAGGAAAAACCAACACATTCAACCGTCTTCTGTTCCGTCCTTTTTCCGCTGCTTGTTTTCGCTCGCTTCCATTCCATCCATGATGATTATCCACTGGCGACTGCAGCCAAAAACACTACGTGATCGACAGTGACTCGAAACGGTTCCGTGTGTGGCGTAGTTTGTAAAAACGACAAGAAAAGTCATCCTCCGCATCAAGAAGTTAGAAATTCGATTCGATTCCATTTTTCTCATTCTCGCTTGGATTATTATTGTGCTAAGTACTGCTTTACCCTCGTTCGTGGCTATTCCGCGAAAATGTGCACCACTTCCGGAAGTTAATATCGAATGGAGCAAGGAAAACGCTCGAGCAGATTCGTCATCGTCGGACGGACGGAACCGAAGTGATTATTGTTTTTGTTCCTGCTGCTGCTGCGGGGAGGAAACAATGGCGACCGCTGCTGTTGCTGGCGATTTTCTCTAGAACGGCAGAGGAGTGTTTTTTTTCCACTGGTGGATTGAGGTGCTGAAGAAAATTTTGATTGCAAATGGAATTCATTTAATGCTGATAGGAGTGATCAGTGGCACAGTGGGAGTGTTTATTTCGGGGAATAATATCCCAGCTAGTGGGGGCAAGAAGATCGGTCAATGTTATTTTCGGTGAAGAAAGTTTTGCGATCCTGTGTTCGCGAGGGCCCAAGCAATTAAAGGTTTCGTTTTTGTGTGAGTGGATTTTCTCCGTAGCAAAACAAGTGTTTTATTTTTATTTGAACAGAAAATCGATTCCGTTTCCGCTAAAGAGCACCGAATTCGAGAACACCATTGCCAATTGGACTAGGTGAGTTATTAGTTTTGTGGATCATTAAAAAATCAACAATGACCTTGCTTTGCTCTGTCGAGCAAAACAAAATATTGTACCATGTAAGTCGTCAGTATGTTCAGCAAGTAGAAAGGGAGGTTCTCCTGTTACGAAATCACCAATGGCATCATCTGTTTGGTAAAAGATAACCAAACGAGTACACAGCAGACAGGCATGAATCCAACAATTAACTAATTGTAAAGAAATAGATCCTCAAAATTGTGTGTATCATTTTTCGCTTCGTTCTGGATTTAATTTGTTTACCTATATTGGGGGTTTTTCGTCGAAACTTTCCGCTCCTAATCGTGCGTGAAAGGGGGGTGAATGATTGAAGGGACGACGTTGGTGGACGATGGGTAGACTCGGGAAGGAGGAAGCTGTCGCGAGTGAAAGAGCACAAAATATTAGTCACTTGCTGCAGCAGTAAACAGCACACGTCTGGAAGAACGTTAACATGCAAAAGTAAAGTAGGGTAAAGCGTAGGAAGTTTGTAGGCAAGTCAAGAGCAGGTCCCGTTGAATTCATATAGTTTTGTGTTGTTGTTGCTAAGCTTTAAGTTGCTTGTTCATCTTTCAGTTATTGAGGAAGTTTTTTTTTTGCAGGGCTGGTAGTGGGTATGTGATATAATAGTGACCAAATAGTGACTTTAAAACAATAAAACGGTTACCAATAGGGAATTGCAAATTTTTGCACAGAAAACAATTTTGAAAGTCTTGGAACTGACCTTGGAATTCTGCTCAGATCTATCATGGGATTCCCCAAAAATTCACAAGAAAGTTCCTTTGAATCTCTTCTCGTATCTTGGCATTCTCTTCGGAATTCCCTTGAAACTCCGCTAAGAATTTGCGATTTAAATCAAATCTCTCCTCAGGAATCCTAGTATTTATCCTAGAAATTTGTGTTGTAATTATCCTTCTCCTTGAAGATCTTACAACTCTCATGGAATTATTCTGTGACTTACCTAGGAGTTCAATTCAAAACTTGCTTTCTTCTCCCCCAGAATGTTGGAGTTATTCTTCTCAGCAATATCCCTGAAATCAATTGATGGAACAGCCCTGAAGACAGGTCCTTAAAAACGCCAAAGTATCCCAAATCACACAAATGGCATTCAAACATCTGAAATGCTTTTAAAATTCAATTTTTATAAATTAATTATAATACGAGTGGTCTGAATGTCTGCGACCCACCTGATGGCAGCCCTTAGATTGAGAAACACTGCTCTATGCCCAGGGAAATCGATAAGTTTTCCAACCAGAAACATTCCTTAACCGAACTGGGAATCGACCCCAGCCACCTCCAGCATCGTCTTGCTTTGTAGCTGTGCCTTTACCGACTGAGTTACGGGAGGCCCAAGTCCTTTTACATTCTCCTTAAAAATCCCATGGGTATTGTCCACTGAATTCTATTTTTTTTTTAAATTGTTGTAGCCCTGAGCATTCTTCCATGTTGTACAATCTTAAAAACTTTCCAGGGCCATAATAATAATAGTTTTTTTTTTTTGGGAATCTTGGATCTTGTAAATTTTCTAAAATTTCACATTTTGAGTATTTTCCAAGCGGTTCAACTCTGCATACCTAAATCGCTACCGAGTGATTGAACTGTACCGAACATTTCTATCAAGGGTCAATCAAAGTATGCCTATCAAGGTGTCAGTAATCCATGAGTTTGGCAACCCCGAAAGCTTACGACTTTTGTGATTGTGTTTACATTCTCAATTTATCTGATGGATCATGGCAAGCAATCAGCTTCCCTTCGAGAAGTGGAAGAGGAAGTGAAAGCCATAAAACCTATACAGTGTTCAAGCAAATTGAACGCATCCACCAGATTCCGGATCGATGAAGTGCTGATTCCTTGCAGATGTACAGAGACGAAGACGTAGTTATTTAGATCAATGATGGATCAAATTGTTACCTGCTGCATATCAAATTCTTCCTAGGCAACATGCTTGAGCCAGTTTATAAAGCCTCAACATTTTTTTTCGCACTGAGGACCCTTGATACGAGCCCGTTCTACAGAAGGATAGTGACAGCGATGCATCTGCAAAATAAGCGGATCTGGTGACGGGGATGTACTTGATATCGAACTCGCGAAATAGAATAGAATGTTATTGCATTTCTTACTGCAATGATCCGTTCCAATAAATCTTATGCTATTGCGCTAAGCCAATCGTACACCAGTCCAGGTCTGATGGAATATGTGGGGTTAATACGTATTGACATCCCACAGCAGTACTGGAACTTCTTTCAAATTTATATGGACATCCCTATAAAGTCCATACCAATTGAGACTGGCATAAGGGGTTGATCACTCCGCACAGTGTGTCAGACACAGTTGGGCACACTCATTGGTACCCATGATCTTTGAAGTAACTGGCAACACTGTACTATTTCTGCGCATGCGCAGCGCATGTGTCAAACCATTTTTGTTGACATATTGCAATTTTTGGACGCGGATAAACTCAACCATGAATTTTCGGCCAAGACCCGCCATAGATTCTCCTAAACCAGCGCACATCCCAATGCCTATCCGAAGCAGTACACCATCAGTTGCAGTAAATTAATCAAAACCAGGGCAACCGGCGCTGAGAGAACAGGTTATGGTCTAGTGTTCGGAACGTCAAATCAAAAAGTCAAAACAATCGAGCCACGATCAGGATGATCGGAGCGACTCGTCGCGAAACCTAGCAGTAATTTTTTACCTGACTATACACCGGTCATTTAATCGTTTTAAACTTCAGTTTATTTATGCGTGTATAATTTTTTGAGCGGTCACTTTGTGTTCGCGTCAAGGGGAGACGCAAGTTGCCGTAAATTCGATCATTTGGGTGAGACCCTTCCTTTTTGTTTGTTTACATTTTATTTTATTGGATTGGAATTAAAATTGAGGAGCTCGGCTAGCTTGACGGCTACCGCTTTTGCTTACTGAGTAGAAGATCGTGGGTTTATTCCCAAGCTCCATCAAAACAAAACAATTACTGTGGTCACATCGCCTTCTTGAGCGAATCCTGACCCATCTCTTACCCAACTATTCAATTCCGTAGCATCTATGGGGGCGTCGGTGAGTCGCTGGCCTTCCGTTAAGTAGATGTTACATCAACAATATCATTCCTTTCCCCGTAACGGAGAAGATGGGCGTGGCCGGCAATGGTAATTGTCATGCTTTAACTATTTTGAATTCTGATTGGAGCGCTATTCATTCCCAAATAGTTTTCCTTAAGCAATTAGAATAAGAATGTTAAAGTAGATACATGACAGTTGCCATTATGCAACCTACATATTACTCGGTTACAAACACAACGCAACGCAACGCAATAGCCAGTTGCAATAACGATCTTGGAAAATTCATCCCGGTGCTGTACTGCTGGTATCGGTATTATCCTCTCGTGTTTTGTTTAGCAAACCACTACGCGGGGTGCTTGTTGCTTGTTATTTTTATATTCTAGATAGAGCTGGAATTAGGGCCTAACAGCTTTTATAAACAATAACTTCTCTTGATGATTTCTTGAAATTCAAGGGTCGCCCACGCAAACCAACATCATCATCGGGTAGGTAAAGACTTTCCCTATCCAATGGTTATGTTGGTCTGCGTGGACGTTCCTTGAATTCCTAGAAATCATCGATTGAAGTCATTGTTTACAAAAGCTGTTACGCCCTAATTCCAGCTCTATCTAGATATTTAGAAAAATGTTTCAATGGTTTTAGCTTTGATGCTTTCTTCTAAATTATGTATAGATTAAAGAGCCTGAGTTTATAAAGAGACGACATCTTGTCAATTTGACAGGTCTTCTGCTCGATTGGAATAACTTTTCCTAAGACTTTGACAGATTGTTCTGATTTTGACAAGTCGTCTCTTTATAAATTCAGGCTCTTTAGTATAGATATATCGGTAAGCTTTCGTGTGAGAGATGACGAAAGAAAAGAAGAAAACGGATGGAACCGTAACCGCCACTACTCCACTTCTATTACTACTACTGTGTGTTGTGTTTCGGTCAGAACGGTTAGAACATATTGAAATCATCTAGTTTTAGTTGGTGTTTATTCTACTGTACCGTATGCGTGATAATGTTTGTACCATCGTACAAATAAGGTTCCCGTTTCACCTGTGCATACAACACCTTGGTTTTCTTTGTATGCACTTAACCTATAGCTCATTTCAGGGAATGAACTTATACATATGGTTTATGTTTCGGCATAATTACTTTATTTAATTTCCAATTCATCGCTGAAAGCCCGCACGTTTCCCTTAAGACCCCTCATTACATTTTGTGCAATGGTGGAGCCGACCTTTTCGGTCACTTTCATCCATTCTTTCTTCAACTCCAGCTCGTTCTTAAACACCTTGGACGATTTTCGAACTTTGGCCTTCATTATGGCCCAAGATCTTTCCACCGGACGAATCTCTGGTGAATTTGGGGGGTTGGCAGTTATTGTCTCTGTACCAATCCAACGTAGATCGCGCGTAATGGCATGATGCCAGGTCCGGCCAAAATAATGTCTCGGCTCCGTGAGACCGCAGGAAAGGCAACAGACGCTTCTGGAGGCACTCGGTGCGGTAAATTTCGCTGTTGATGGTACCCATTGTGATTTACGGTTTACTCAGTTTACCGCATTGGCATATGGCCTGCCAGAGCAAGTATTTTTTGTCGAATTTGTCTACTTTCTTCTTCCTTATGTCTTCCGTAACATCAAACCGTGATTTGGCAACGTAGAACTCCAGCCCCGGTATCTGCTTTGCGTCTGATGTATGATTCGTCATCCATAACCACACACATCGGTCTCGTTAACCACTCTCGATACAGCTTCCTTGCGCGGGATTTGGCCGCCGTGTTTTGATGATCACGCCGGTTCGGTGCCTTCCGGACCTTGAATAAACGAAGCCCAGCTTGTTTCATGGTTTGTTGAACGAACCAGGCGGAACACTTTGCCTTCAGAGCCGCGTCGCGAATCGAAAGGTTCGGATTACGCTTGAAATAATCCAAC